AGGCGGTGACGCTGCATTTTTGGCGGCCAGCAGTTCGTGCCGCAGGCCAGCGGGAAATTTTCGGAAGGGTTCATTCAGAGACTAGACAGATCTGGCACGCTGCGCAGCTCTGTGGAGCACAGGTAAACGGGCAAGCGGCGCTCGTTCGCTTTTCACCAAAATGGCCATGCGTTTGCGGAAGCGACTCCTCTCAGGGCCATCGTGATGTGAACAATAAGCATCCTTGTGGAGCGTCCATGTCCCCAGGCCCATGGGCACCCCGCCAAACCACCCAACCTGAAGACCACAATTTGCCTTCCATTCCCAGTGTAGGGGGGGCGTCGGGGAACATTGAAAAAACACATGTGGAACCCGTACCCCCTTCAACCCAAAATTTGGATCTGCGGGATAGATTGGGGCGGTCTGGTAGGTAGTCGCACACTCCCCCACCCCGCCCCGCAACCAACTACATCCCCGTGGTTCCAGGGCCTGTTCTGTGAGCTTTTGTGGGCTGCTTCGATTTTCAGAGGCCTCCACCGGGGCTCAGGAGGTCGCCGGGACGCCCCATGCTGGCTCAGTGCTCCAAGAGATGCCACGAGTTGGGCCAATGTAGGTAAACAACAAAGTTGTTCTACGTCTGGTGTGGATTTCATGCCGTTTTCGTTGTGAGATGGAACGTTCCAGTGGGCTCATTCGTTGCCCCACTCAGCCCGAAGAGGGCCCCAAGACGGCCTCAGAACGCATCAGCTAGTAGGACTCTCAAGGCCCAAGGGAGTTCCCAGAATGGACCCGAAGTCCCTAGATGGCTCAAGAGAACGCCTAGACGGCCCAGTGGGCTCCCACAGCCCTAGGGTGGCCCCGAGAAGCCCATAAGGGGTCCCAAGAGAGCTTACAACAATCCCGAGATAGACCATAGACACCAAGGACAAGAGATGCCCAGGATGAGCAGAAGTGTTTGGACACACATTTAGGAGGGGATGACGACGATTATGGTGGCACCTTCACGCCCATCCCCTTCACGTCATAGTAATTTGTTGTTGTTTGTCCCGCTCACCACCTTCCTCACTGTTCCCCTCTTGGTCGAGGGGAAGGAGTGAAACTCAAGCGTGCTAACGTCTCGACTGTTGCATGCTATTCGCGCAGACATACAGCGAGCATGACTCAATACACTTGCCCGCCTGCCCAACACCTTTCTCCGTGTGATGGCATAAACAGAGTTTATCCTCCACCTCCATGTATTATGCGCACTCTCCTCTGTCTTGCCACTCCCTTACTTGTGCTCGTCACTTGCACTCGTCCGTTTCGTCATCTTCTGCCTTTTCACCCTACTCTTGCTCCCCTGGCAGCTCCCCCAGCGGTCCCCGGTCCCCTCACGGCCACAAGTCTAGCAAGCTTCCCGCCAAGAACCCCTCCTGAGACACTGACAGAGGCAACTGCGACCTGCTGCCAGCTCTTGCCATGGTCGAATCCAAGAGTGCGCGCGCGCGGAGTGCGCGTGGTTCCCTTCGGTTGATGCGGAGCACCTCTCATCGGAAATCCAGCCGCGTGGGCCCGGGCGTCGCATAACACCGGGGGCCCCCTCGCAGAACGCGCGCGACTGCGGCGTGCTTTCGTTCGTTCGCCGCCACGTCTGGATGCGATGATGGGCTTGTTTTCCACCACCACCACCATTAGTTGGAGGGGTCCTCCTCCTCCTCCTCCTCCTCCTCCTCCTCCTCCTCCTCCACCTCCTCCTCCTCCTCCTCCTCCTCCTCCTCCTCCTCCGTCTCCTCCTCCTCCTCCTCCTCCTCCTCCTCTCCTCCTCCTCCTCCTCCTCCTCCTCCCCTCCTCCTCCCCCCTCCAACTTCTGGTGGTGGTGGTGGTGGTGGAAGATGGGCCCATCATGCGATTCGAAATCCTGGTCGAAGCGCACCCAGGGGGCGGGCCGAGCCCAGGGGAAACGCTGAGGCGTTGAGGCGGGGCGGGAGGCAGGCTGCTGGCCCCGGGGGCGAGGCATCGGCCCTCGATCGCCCGCGCGTCGCCGCGGGGGGCCAGCTGGCCCGCCTCGCCCCACGGCGCGGGGGGGGTCCCCCGTCGGGGGCCCACCGCCGACGCATCGGCGATGCCTCGCCGACTCCATGTCGGTGCCCTCTCCCTTGCCCGCGTTCCCCCGCCCGGACACTGCAGCGGGCAGCCACCATTCCACGCTGGTGCCTCAGGGGGCGCGGCGCCGCTCCTTCTGAGACTCGCGGATCCTCCTCCTCCCCCTCCTCCCCCTCCTCCTCCCCCTCCTCCTCCCTCCTCCTCCTCCTCCTCCTCCTCCTTCCTCCTCCTCCTCCTCCTCCTCCTCCATCTCCTCCCCCTCCTCCTCCTCCTCCTCCTCCTCCTCACCCTCCTCCTCCTCCTCCGCCTCCGCCTCCCCCTCGTCCTCCTCCTCCTCCTCCTCCTCCCCACGCCGGGCCCTGTGAGCCCGCCCCTCCCCGATTGCCCCCCCCCCCGCCGCGGGCATCGCCGGGCGGGGCGCCGAGATGCCTGGGCGCGGCGCGTAAGGGGCAGGGCAGCGGGCCGGCCGCGCCGCGCTCCGCCTGCGGGCGCAGGACGGCCGCGCGGGGTCGTCGGGGGCGGCAAAGAGGGGGGTGATGACTAGGGGGGGGTGGATATCATGGCGGGGGCCATGATATTTCCCCAGATTCCGTGGCGCCTCTTCTTGTTTCATTACGTCCCTGGCCCCCCCGCTGGGTCGCGCACATGCCGCCGGTCATGATTTGCACCCCCCCCTCTTGGACACCCCCCTCTTGGCCGCTCCCGAGGTCGGAGGAAGGAGGAGCAGCGCCAAGGCCACCAGGGGGGCCAGCTCCGGCGGGGAGCTCTACGGGGCCTCCCCGAGCTGGAGTTCCAGGGCCGCCTCGAGAGAGAGGGGGGGGGGCCACACCGCCAGGGCGTTGGCGTTGGCGTTGGCGTTGGCGCTGGTGCCGCCCCGCTGGCGATCGCCTCTCCTCGCCCTGCTGGCGTTGGCGTCGCCTCTCCCTGCTCCCTGGGAGGGGGGGGGGGGCGCCGCTCTGTCGGTCCGCGGCGCGGCGCCCCCGGGAAGCAGAAGGCGGGGCCGTCCTCGCCGACCTCGGCGCGTCGTCGGCCCGCGCAGGGGCCTCAGCCGCGCGCAGAGGGGGGGGGGCAGGGGGAGGTGGGAAGCCTTCTTAGAAGCACCCCTGCTTCTTCGAAGGCGCGGGCCTCCTCTATGCACGTACGGCCAGGGCCTTCGAAGAAGCGGGGTGCCTCTAAGAAGCCTTCCCCCCCCCCCCTGCCCCCCTCTGCTCGCCGCCAAGGTCGCGCGCGGGCGCCCCCGTTTCCAACGTGGCGTGCCGCGCCGGCGGTCGCGGACGCCGCCGCACGAGGCCGCCGTGTCATCTCGCGTGATATCGTCTTATTGTTTCGGGGGTGGACAGAGCCCCCAACAGCGACACGTCGATTAGTGAATTGTCCGTCTTCGGTTCTCGAGAGGGCGCCGACATCGTGCCGCACAAGGCCGCCATGCCATCTCGCGTGAGATCGTCTTATTTCGGAGGTGGATTGACCTACCGGCCGTTTTCGGTTCGCGACACGTCGATTGAGGAATTGGCCGTTTTCGGTTCGCGAGAGGGCGTCGCGGCCGTCATTGTTGCGGGTCCAGGTCCGTCGGTTTCGATCCCAGGTCGTTTTCACTAAGGGGAGGTTCACTAAAGGGTGGTTTGTCCACCGCCGATTATTGTTCGTCGTTTAGTTACCTGGCGCCAGGCGGTGCGCAAGCAAGCCAGACGTGCTCGCGTCGTGAGCAGGAATCGCGAGGGGAGGTGTTGTTGGCCGTGGTCGGCCGCCGGGGGCCCTCTCCGGGGCCCCAGGGCCGTCAAAGGCAGCTCGGGATGGTGCACATCAGGAGGGAAAGACACACACAGACACAATTAATCGTCGAGTGCCAGGAAAATATTGGAAAATATGGGAATTGGGCGGGAAGACAAAAATACAGAACATATGGGAAAATATGGGGAATCATTTCATTGGTGTGTATTCATTTGTGTGTCCCAGGGCCCCTTCAACACAGGCCTTGCGGAAGGGGTTGGGCTTTCCAGGGCCCCCATATCTCCGAGGAGGAAGAAAAGGTTCCCACACTACCCCCCTTCGCCCGTTGTCTCCCTTTGCGGCCTCCATGGGAGGCCGTAGTCGCCACCGCTGAACGCGCTTCGAGATTCCAGTCCGAACGCACCCCCTGGGAGAGGTCCGGGGAGTACTCCAGATTTCGCAATGAAAGGGAGGGGGTCTGGACCCTCCAAGACAAGCCATTTCAGACCTCCCCCGTGGGAGAACCCCCCAAAACATCGTCCCCAGACCCCCCCAGGCCCTCCAAGATAGCCTGGAAGAGACCCCCCCCGAAATGAGACCCCCCTCCCTTTATTACGAAATCTGGAGTAAACGAATACCAGAAACATCGTCCCAGGACTATTGTTGGACTTTTTTGGGGGTATTTTTGGGGCGTTCCTCGTTTTTGCCCAAAATCCCCCATGTAGGGGGACACGCCGACTTAAGCTCAGGGCTCGGGTCGTGATGTGGTGCGACGTTGCATATGTTCTTTCCCGCGACGCTCAGGGAATTCGGCAAGATAGTACACGAGTGCAGCAGCTCAGCGTGCTGCCGCCAATTTTAGCCCCCCTGGAGGAAACGTCGATGACACACGCCGGCGTCGGGGGGCGCGTCGGCTTGCTACAGTCAAGATGCCGAAATAAGGAACCGTTTGGGTTCGGAGGGGGCTCGATGCTCCTGAGGTTCCTCCAGTGCTGTTCCTCCTGCCCTCCTGGGGCACGGAGGCGCTTACAGGGCCAAGAAGGGGCTTCGTTCCTCATGTAGCGTGCCTTCTTTCAGCGGCCCCACTGTACAGTGCCGTTTCTAATACATGCTCCGCGCGCAGATCATGTATTCAAAATGCAGGGATTCAGTACTAAAACCAACGATGAGTTCATGCATACATTTATTCATACATTACTCATGCATTAAAAATCTAAGTTTAAACAATCCTATGTGTTAAAAACTGCCCTGTACTCCTGCACTGCTGTCCGCGAGCCTGGCGTGCTTCTTCTGCAGCAGGCGCGCTGATGGGTTCCCCACAGCGGCGTGGCGCTGGTGGTGTCTTTCAGGAGGGGAAGAAACACACAGACACAATGAATCGTAGACTCCCGGGAGAATATGGGAAAATATGGGTTGGGGGGGATGACGGAACCTTAGAACATATGGGAAGATGTGGGGGATCTTTTTATTTGTGTGTATTCATTTGTGTGTCCCAGGGCCGCTTCAATGGTGTCTTGGCTGCCCCACGATCGCGCTCACGGAAGGCATCCCGCCGCGCTGCGCAGCAGATGCCAGGCGCTGTTCTGGTCGACTCCGTTTCGGCAGCTGCGGACCCCCACTGGGCCCAGGGATCGTTCAGAAACTGTTCGTCACCACCCACCAAACCACCCCAACCCAACCCGAAGGCTCAGATTATCCTTCGATTTTCCAGTGGGGGGGGGGGTCGGGGAACATTGAAAAAACACATGGAACCCATACCCCCCCCAACCCGAAATGCAGGTCAAATTCGGGTCTTCGGGTTGGGTTGGGGTGGTCTGGTAGGTAGTCACAGGGATCGTTCAGAAACTGTTCGAGGTGAGAATCCTGTCCCTGGGCTGGGGATGAATATCCACGCAGGGTCCTTTTCGACCCCGGTCGATCCGCTGCGGTGCCGACTCTGGCTGGCGCGATCCGAATCGGTTCCCTGTTGAAGTTTGAGTCGGGCCCGTCCCTCTACATGGGGGATGTTCAAGAATTGTAAGAAATAGTCGGGGGGCTATATGTTGGGTATTTTTCTGCATTGTTTTGAGCACTCTTGGAGTATTTGATATTGTTCGTCCAAAGACCGTCTGTAGGGGGTCAGGCCCGACCCAAGTTTAAGGCCCTTTCTGAAGCCAGCAGGAGCCTTTTGTGCCCCAGCTGGCTCCAAAAAGGCCCCTTTAGGATTTCGTTCTTCACCAACCAGTTGTGTCATCCCTCATGAGCACCCGCCCGACCGATGTTCCTGGCGATGCGCTGCAGCCCGCTGCTTGCATTGCGTCGTTGTGCGCCTCTTGGGCTGTCTTGGTCTGACGGAGGCCCGAAAATTGGGTGAACGCGAACATCACTTCAGCACCACTGGGGAGTTCATGCTTTGGGCCTCCTCGGGCACCCCTGGAGGTTCCCTCGGATCCCTCATCGGGCTTCGGGGACTCTTGGGCCGCCTTGAGGCCATCTTGGGGCCATCTCGGGCCGTCCTGGAGGCACATTTTCAGGAGCGGAAAAAACACACAGACACAATCTTATCTTCGATTCCCCAGAAAATATGGGAAAATATGGGAAGTGTGGGGGAAGACAAAACCCAGAAAATTTAGATAAATATGCATAATAATTTCATTTGTGTGTATTTCTTTGAGTGTCCTGGGACCCCTGCAGTCCTGGAGGCACATTTAGCCATCTTGGCGGCCTGGGTGGCCTGCCGGGGCCGCCTTGGACGCCATCGTGGGCATCGTGCACGCCTTTGGAGAGCGCCACGGAGGCGTCGAAACGCCCAGGAACCCTCCAGAATGAGGGACGATGCATGCCTGGCCTTAGTGGGCCCTGGAAACGACAGGGCCGTTGTTTTACCGGTTCCGTTTTGCCATTTGTTTGCCGGTTCCGACGCCGTTTTTTGACCGGTTCCGTCGCCGTTTTTTGACCGGTTCCGGCCCCGGTTCCATTTCTGGAGCCGTTTTTTTTTCCGTTTCCAGTCGCCGTTTTTTTGTCGTTTCCATGTCCAAGGGACATTTTTCTGGAGACGGTAAGAAAAAACGGCCCTGCAGTTCCCGGGGCCCACAGAGTGCCTGGCCCCTTAGAAGACTTGAACCGAGTCATTACCACGCAGCACTTGGCGTTCTACGTACCGTACCTGGCCTCAAGTGCCTCCAGGCACGGTGGCGGATGTGGTGTAGAAGCAATCGTTGCCGCGTGCAGCTTCGCACGCGGTGCAGAATGCGGGACGCATTTTTTCCGATCTGCGATTTCTTCAGGTTGCGTTTTCACAGACGCCAGCAGGTTTCCAACACCTCCAATGTTGCAGTGTCCCAGGCGGCTCGTTCTTCCTGCGAGCTCGCTTCAGGTCACTGGCCCCTCCAGTCGGGTGCTTCTCCAGATGGCACCTTTCTCGCGCCGCCGCCCCCCCGCGTCGCACCAGCAGGCCATGGCATGCAGTCCGTCTGCTTCCTGCCCCTCCGCCCCCGCCCCATCCCTGCGCGTGCCAGAACATCCTCCCCTTCTCACGCAGACCGCTGGGCCTCCCAGGCCCGCAGCGGAAAGCATCCTCCTCCCCCCCCTCCCCTATCCGCTCTCCTCGGTCCTCCTCCCTCCCGCTCCCCCTCCTGGCCGTCCACATGAAGGCCCTGCGAGATCTGCTGCGCTCCATGTGCACCGCAGCGTGGCGGCGCGCAGAGAGGGGGTGGGGCGAGGGGGGCCGGCCGTCCGAGGTGTCCAGGGGGGGGGGAGTTCTGTCGACATCTGCCCTCCCAGTCTTGTGAGAATCGACTAGGCGTAAGATCGACCTCTCGCTGGAGTGACCGATCGCGGAGCGCGAAGCGGCAGCAGCGGCCTGCGCGCCCAGGTTTGATCGCCCCGCGTCCCCCGTTCAGCCGGCCACCGAAGCTCCCTCTTGCCCAGGGTCACTCTAGGAAGCCTCCGCACCCTTCTAAGGACCCCCTGCCTCGCTATCAACAACGGCGACGACGAAAACGTCGACGACGACGACGACGACAATGATGACGCCGACGACGGACCACGACGGCGACGACGGAGCACGACGACGACGCCAGGCGACGGTGAGGACCACGACGACGACGACCATGACAACGGCAGTGAACGACAATGACGACGACGACGAAAACGATGACGACGCCGCCGCCGCTGCCGCCGCGGCCGCCGCCGCCGCCCGCCCGCCCGCCCGCCCGACCCAGCCCGCCTGCCCGCGTGCCCGCCCGCCCGCCCGCCCGCGCTCGCGGCCGCCCGCCCGCCCGCCCGCCCGCCTGCCTGCCCGCACGCGCGCGGCCGATTGCGCGCGCCACGTTTCGGAGGTTTCATCAAGCGTCGAGGCCGTCTGAGGTTCTCCCAAGTTTTTGGGAGCTTGTCGGACGTTCTTGAGCCCTCGGTTGTTCCTGCTGGCCCAGAAGCACAGAGTGGTTTCGAAAACAGAGCAGATGAGGGAGGAGGTGGAGGAGGAGACGGAGGTATGATCTTGGCATTATGTATTTGTCTTCTCCAAGGGGGCTCATTGGATGCCGATTCCTATAAGAAGGGTGATTTTAAGTTCTAGGATGCACAAGGTTTCCGCCCGACTCCTGGGCCTCCCGGATGGGGTCAGAGTAGATAGGTTCGGAGGATCGCGATTGCATCGCCGATGCATCGCCGATGCATCGGCAATGCGGCTCGATGTGGGGCCCGATTTCTCCACGCCGACATCGCCGATGCATCGCCGACGTTGTCGATGCATCACCGATGCATCGCCGGTGCATCGGCGATACATCGGCGAACCGTGCCGTGGTCGCGAGCCCTTGTTTTCGAGGAGGCGCCGCTGAATGGCCCCAAGGGTTGGGGGGGGGGTTGGGACCCCCCCCTCCTTTCCCCGATCCGTCGTCGGGGACCCCCCCCCCCTCCTCCCCTTTCCCGGTCCGTCGTCGGGGACCCCCCCCCCCTTTCAAAAGGGGGCGGGGTCCGAACCCCCCCCCCACCCCCTCCCCCCTTTGGCCGCCACATTCGACCCCCCCCCTCCCTCCCTTTCGCCACGGCGCCCCCTGGCTCGGGAACCCGGCCCCTACCACCCCTAACACTACCACCCCCGCCACCCGTAACCCTAATTTTTCACCGCAGCCCCAAACAATACCCAGTACAAATCACTATTTGCTACCCACTACTCACTACTCGGTACTCACTACTCACTTCGCACTACTCATTGCTCATTGCTCACGACGTACTATTCATTACCCACTATTCACTACCCACTACCCACGACTTACTACTCACTACTCACAGCTCACTGCTCAATACTCACTGTTCACTATCCACTACGCAATACTCACTACGCAGTAAGCACGACTCTCCACCCACTACTCACTACTCATGAATCATTATTCACCCTCAGTATCCATTATCCACTACTCACGACTGAATACACACTTCTCACTACTCACTACCCACTGCCCACAACTCACTACTCACCCTCCGCTGCTCGCTACTCGATACTCCCTACTCCTTCCACAGTACTCACTGCTCACTACTCACTACTCGCTATTCCCTATTCGCTACTCGCTACCCGAAACGCAATATTCACTACCCACTACGCACTACTTACTACTCAATACTCTTTACTCACGAGCTAGTCACTAGTCACACGTCACTACTAACTATTCAGTTTTCACTACTCATTACGCTCTACTCGCTACTCCCTACGCACTACCCGCTACTCACTACCCACTTCTCGCTTCTCACGACTCACTAACCGCTACTCCCCACCCACTACTTACTAACCCACTATTCGCTACTCCCCACTCGCTACTCACTATCCCCTACTCACTACTCACTACTGACTACTCCCTCCTCACCATTCATTCCTCACAATGCCCAACTCGCTACTCACTATTCACTACTCGCTAATGCCTACTTGCTACTCACTACTCAACACCCACTCCCCACTGTCCACTACTCACTAATCAGTATTCACTACTCACTACTCGCTATTCCCTATTCGCTACTCGCTACCCGAAACGCAATATTCACTACCCACTACGCACTACTTACTACTCAATACTCCCTACTCACTAGTCACTAGTCACACGTCACTACTAGCTACTCAGTTTTGCGTACTCACTGCGCTCTACTCGCTACTCCCTACGCACTACCCACTACTCACTACCCACTTCTCGCTTCTCACGACTCACTAACCACTACTCCCCACCCACTACTCACTAACTCACTATTCGCTACTCCCTACTCGCTACTCACTATCCCCTACTCACTACTCACTACTGACTACTCCCGCCTCACTATTCACTTCTCACAATTAATGCCCTACCCGCTACTCACTATTCACTACTCGCCATTCCCTATTCGCTACTCACTACTCAATGCCCACTCTCCACTGTCCACTACTCACTAGTTAGTGTTCACTACTCACTACTCACTACTCGCTACTCCCTATTCGCTACTCACTCCTCTCTACTCACTACTCACTACTGACTACTCCCTCCTCCTTACTCACTACTCACAATGCCCCACTCGTTTCTCACTATGCACAACTCGCTACTGCGCACTACTCACTACCCACTCCTCACTATTCGTTACTATCTATTCACTGCTCATTATTCACTACTCACTACTCGCTATTCACTATTCACTAGTCTCTACTCACCACTCACTACTCACTATCCCGAGGCCAGAGCACCCCCCCCGTTGCGGGAGAGGCCCCCTCCCCGGCCCCCTGTTCGGCGTAAGGGGGGGCAAGAGGGGGGGGGGGTCGAACCCCCTTCCCCCTTCCAGTGCCAAGGGGGGGGGGCAGGTGCGGAATCACGCCCTCCCCTTCAAGGGGGGGGGGGGGGACAGGGGGGGGATCGAAAATCTCACCCCCCTTTGAAGAGGGGGAGGGGGGGGGTTCTGCGAACACGCCCCCCTTTCTCAACTTTAGGGTCATCCATTGGCGCGCTTTCCTTGTTTTCTGTGCCTGGGTGTCAGACTCCAGTCGCGAATGCTGCAAGGGTTTTTCGATTCGCGTGAGAGAGGCCAGTCAGTCAGTAAGCAGGCCGAGTGAGAAGGCCATCCTTGTAAGAAAGTCCAGGTCGGAGGGCGCTTCTTCTGAGAGAGTCCCGGCGCTCGAACGGCGCTCTGGCGACCGAGCATATCGTTAAGATAAATGGCGCCACTGTGCGGCGGGAGGGCGCCGCTCAGGCCACGCAAGCCATGAATGGGGCCCCCTGTCGGGTTGGGATGGGTGGCGGGCAAGATTCATGTCCATATCCAGTGCCTCTTGGACTTTTGGAAGCGGCGCCACAAGGCCGAGGCGCACTGGATATGGATAAAAATCGAGCCTTTAGGGGGCAAATTTATCCATATCCAGTGCGCCTCGGGTTTCTTGGGAAGGGAGCCCGAAGCTCCATACTGCAGTGGATCTGGACAAAAGTATTGCCCGCAGCGGGGGGGGACCCGTTCCAGAGCTGTGCAAAACGTTCCGCGAAGGCTGCGGCGCCCACGGGGAGGCACCCGTGCCAGAGCTCTGCAGATGGCTCCGAGAAGGCTGCGGCGCCCGAGGCATGCTCCGGAGCCGCCGGATCGGAGAGCTTCTCGAGTTCCTCCCTCGGGGGTGGAAAAGAGGGGGGGGGATATCATGGCGGGGGGTCTGATAATTCCTCAGATTTCATGGCACCTCTTCTTATTTCATCACGTCCCTGGCCCCCCCGCTGAGCCGCGCACATGCCGCCGGTCATGATTTGCACCCCCCCCCTCTTGGACACCCCCCTCTTGGCCGCTCCCGACTCCCGGCCGGATGTATCCCTCGTCAACCCGTGCCAGATCTTTGCAGATCGCTCTGAGAAGGCTGCGGCACCCGAGACATGCTCCTGAGCCGCCGGATCGGAGAGCTTCTCGAGTTCCCCTCGCCCTGATCTATTCCTCGTCGACCCGTTCCAGAGCTTTGCCGAACGCTCCGAGAAGGCTGCGGCGCCCGAGACATGCTCCGGAGCCGCCAGATCTGAGAGGTTCTCGAGTTCCCCTCGCCCTGATGTATCCCTCGTCAACCCGTTCCAGAGTTTTGCAGATCGGTCCGAGAAGGCTTTGGCGCCTGAGACATGCTCCGGAGCCGCCGGATCGGAGAGCTCCAGTTCCCCTCGCCCGGATGGATTCCTCGTCCTGGCATCGTCGTCTCACTCGAGCCCAGCGCCCAAATCCGCGGCATTCTTCGCAGGCCTAGAGGTTGACACCAACACCAAGATCGGCGGTGTGCCTCCACCGAGGGAAGAGGATCCCGATCTCGGTGATGGTGGTAATACTCTGGCTTCCAAGGTGACCGAACTATTGCCACCAACACCGAACTCTAGGACCATCTCCCCCATGTGGAGGCAACTTCCTGTGATGGTGTTGGTGCCAATTTCTGGGCCTCCAAACTCTGGTGAGGGAGGCGCTTCTGAAGCCCAGGACGCGGAGGAGTCGCCGGCAGCCCGCCGTGCCGTTGCCGTGGCCGCGGGCCGCGCGCGTCTCCGCGAGCCGCGCCGTGGCCCGCGGGCTCGCGCGGTCGGAGAGCTGTGCCGCACCGCGGTCCGCACCGCGTGCCGAGCGGTGTCTTGCAGAGAAATCTTGTAGACCTCCTCCTCCTCCTCCTCCTCCTCCTCCTCCTCCTCCTCCTCCTCCTCCTCCTCCTCCTCCTCCTCCTCCTCCTCCCCCTCCCCCCCCCTCCTCCTCCCCCTCCCCTCCCCCTCCACCCCTCCTCCTCCCCCTCCTCCCCCTCCCTCCTCCCTTCCTCCCTCTCACCCCTCCTCCTCCCCCTCCTCCTCCCCCTCCTCCTCCTCCTCCTCCTTCTCCATCTCCTCCTCCTCCGTCTCCTCCTCCTCCTCCTCCTCCTCCTCCTCCTCAATGTGCGTCGTGGTTGGCGCTGTCTGGCCGTACCGCTCGGGAAACGATGCGAGCCGTGCGAGCTGCTGGTGCCGCGCTCCTGTTCTCGAGGGGCTGCGACGGTGGTGCCGTGCCGTGCCCGCGCGCCGTGCTGCGCCGTGCCTGGCTTCGAGCGTGCGATGACGCTGCCGTGCCGTTGCCGCGCTCGGCTCCCGGAGTGTGCGGGGGGCAGCTGCCGTGCCGTGGCGTGCCGTGCCCGCGTGCCGCATAGCGTGCCGCGATACGCGGCCTGGCCGGCAGAGAGGGGAAGCGCCTGCCTTGCCGTGCCCGCGCGCCCTGCCGTGCCAGCCTCTGCCTCGAGAGTGCGGATGCGTCCCCGTGCCGTGCTTTCAGAGGAGGAAAACCTTCAGGAGGGGAAAAAACACACAGACACAATGAATCGTCGATTCCCCAGAGAATATGGAAAAATATCGGAAGTGGGGGGGAAGACAAACAAAAACCCAAAATATAGGAAAATATGGGGAATCATTTTATTTGTATGTATTTATTTGTGTGTCCTGGGGTCCCTTCAAACGTACCCATACCTCTACCCTTCACCCGTTTTCCCTTTTTTCGCTCTCCTGGGAGGTTCTCGTCGCCACCATTGGATTCGCCTCGAAATTCTGGTCAGAGCGCACCCCGGGAGAGGCCTGTGAAGTGGCGGTATCGGTATACCTTTTGGTCTCCCCGTGCCTGGCCTGGGCGCCGTGCCTCGCTTTGGCTTCCGAACGCGAGGGAGGTGCTCTCCCGTGCAGGGTCTGCCGCCTCGCCTCGAAAGGCGAGCCCTTGGTGGAGGCGGAGGAGGTGGAGGAGAAGAGGAGGAGAAGGTGGTGGAGGAGGAGGAGGAGGTGGAGGAGGTGGAGGAGAAGGGGAGGAGTTCACCGCTCGCCGCCGGGCCCCGAGGAAGTGCGCGCACTGCAAGGACAGGATGAGCAGGTTCGAGCACCCCATGGTGCAGGAGCGGGGCGCGCGTCAACCGCGGCGGCTCTGCGCCGCGCCGGCGCGGCCGCGAGCCCGGCCCGTGGCCGCGAGCCCGGCGCGGGCGCTCAAGGGTGACCACAGGCAGTGGCCTGCAGTCTCGGCCGAGATGGCCGATCCGCGCTTCTTACGGGGCGTGAAAACGACCACAGCCACTGCTTTTCTTTGGTTGCCGCCTCCTAGCCAGCAGAAACACAGCAGTGGTTGTGGTCATTTTCGTTAAGCTTGGCACCAGGGAAATGACCACAACCACTGCTTCTTTTTCGGCCGGCTGGAAGGCGGCGCAAACAAGAAGCAGTGGGTGTGGTCATTTCCCCGTCCCGCACTTCTGCAGAGCCGAGGTCGTCCAAGGGCGCAGGAGGCGTGCGTGGTGTCAGAGGCCCGCGCCGACGTCATCGCGACGCGAAGCTGCCGCAGGGCGACGGCGGCACAGACGACGACGCCGACGACCTCGCGGCGCGGACTCGCCCCGTGTAATCAGCGGCCTTGGGTCCAAAGCGAGGGCTGGCCGGGTGCCCGGCGAACGGCGCAGGCGGCCCCTTGCGAGCCTGACCGGGACTACACGGGCACCGATCCTACCCCTCCTCAGGGTCGACTCGGGCGGGGGGGACAGCGACCTGGACTCGACCGAGGTTCGAGGTAGTCTGATGGACAAATTTTCCCCCACCACCACCACCACTGTAGGTAGGAGAGGGAGGAGGAGGAGGAGGAGGAGGAGGAGCAGGAGGAGGAGGAGGAAGAGGAGGAGGAGGAGGAGATGGAGCAGGTGGAGGTGGAGGAGAACGAGGAGGAGGAGAAGGAGGAGGAGGAGGACCTCTCCATCCTCCCTTCTCCAGGGCTCCCACGAGGTTGCGAAGTTATTCGCGTTTCGCGGTCCTCGTTCCTTCTCCCCCTCCTCCTCGTCTTCCTCTTTTCCCTGTGGGGGGGCGGCGCGAGAGCGCCAAGTTATTCGCGCTTCGCGGAGCGCGAAGCGCGAAGTTAGGAGCCCTTGCTTCTCCCCCGTCTTTATCTATGGCAGCGGTTGTGGAAAAAATCTGCCCAGCCTTTCCAGACGCTTCGTCGGCTCTCGGCGGCGTGCCCGCTAGGGGTGCCCAGATCGTCCCGAACGGCCGCCAGAGAATCGAGCTATGATCACCAGCCTCGAACTTATCCCCATCCCCAAGATTGACACGCCAAAAGGCGATGACAAACTTAGGGATGCGCACTGAAAAACTAAGGGAATCCCTAAGATTGGCATTGTGATGAGGCGATGCCCAGCTTAGGGATAGGTTCCAGGCTGGTAATATGAAGCGAAAGCCACGGAGCAATATCAAGGGGAGATCGGCCCAAGGGAAAGAAACATCGAGCTGGAATCGGCGATACGTGGCTGATAGATCGACGATCATAGGCCCCCGATCTATCGGCGATGCATCGCCAGTATCAGCTCGATGTCGCCTCTCCTCGGTCTGTGCCCTCCCCCCTGCATAGAGCAAACGGCGTCGCGCAGTTTGTGTGCTCCCTGGACCGCCTCTGGGCCCTGGACCGTGAAAATCCACTTGCGATGCAAATTGGTCCCTAGGGCTCCAGGGGGTCCGGGACCCGTTCTCAGCTTCCCTCGCGTCGAGCTTCTCTCTCCCACACGCTTTCCTTGCCACCCACATCTTCTCACTGCGACGACGGGTGTCACAGCGGATTAGGATCTCCCAACGTGCCCTCATGGCGTCATGCGCGCAGGCAGGGGATCTGTACGTCGGAGAGGGCCCTTTGGGATCCCCTGGGCGAGTCCCGAGATGCCGAGGCATAGCTGAAGGTGAGGCACCGCCACCTCGCCTTGGCATCGCTCGGACGTGTGCATTTTTTCTCGGCGAGAACCATCGAGGACCATCCTGGACCATCGAGCACAAAAAACACGCACAGTACCGCAACATGCACGCGAAATGGGCGTCCGAGCGATGGCAAGTGGCCTGGGAGCTGACGCTTCTAAGCCACACTGCCATGCAGCACTCGAACGGGAGTCACCCCTCGGACGACGGGGCGTACCCCTCTCCTCCCGAGTCCCTCGGTGGAGAGAGGAGGAGGCGGCGGCGGCGGCGGCGGATGAGCAGGAGTGCGATGGGCTCATGCGGCGTTGGCGCACTGGTGACGCCGGCGAGGGCGTTCCAGGTTGAGCTCTGCAGCGCTGAAGCGCCGAGGCACAAAGCCGACGCCACCGGATCCGATGGAGTTCAACGCGGGGCCGCGATCGGTTCGGGTGGCACGAGCCATGCGGTGGAGGAGGCCCTGGCGCGCGCCGACGCCGCACGCACCTGCCGTCTGACGGGGAGGGTGAGCAGGACAAGCCAGGAGGGGGAAAAACACGCACGGACACACACAGTTCCTCGTCGGCTCCCGGGAGAATAATTCGGGGAACATGTGGGAAGTGGGTGGGGGGGGGGGGAAAGACGAAAACCCATAGCATACGGGAAGAGGAGGAGGAGGGAGGGAGGGGGGGGAGGAGAAAGAGGAGGAGGAGGAGGAGGAGGAGGTGGAGGAGGAGGAGAGCAGGAGGAGGAGGAGGAGGAGGAGGAGGGAACATCTGTGTCTACCTGCCTGTGTGCCCCAGGGGCCCCCTGCGAGGAGCGGTGCCGCGCTCCGTGGCGGCGGGCCCCCCCCCCCCGCAGGAGGAGCGGCGGAGCAGGGCGGGCCGCCGGCGCAGCACGGCGCGGCGGCGGAGCAGCTCCGACAAGGGGGGCAGGATGGCGCCCCGCGCGACGAGCAAGGCCTGGGGGTCTGCGCTTCGTGGGCCCTGGAAACGGCAGGGTCGTGGTCGGCGGTGGACAAACCTCCCTTTAGTGGACCTCCCCTCAGTGAAAGCGCCCTGGGACCGAAACCGACGGACCTGGACCCGCAGAAATGACGGCCGCGACGCCCTCTCGCGAACCGAAAAACGGCCAGTTCCTTACTCGACGTGTCAGGGTAATTCGGAGGTTTGTCCACCCCCGACCTTAGTGGGCCCTGGAAACGACAGGGCCGTTTTTGTTACCGGTTCCGTTTTGCCGTTTTTGTTGCCGGTTCCGACGCCGTTTGTCTGCCGGTTCCGACGCCGGTTTTTGACCGGTTCCGGCTCCGGTTCCGATCTTGGAGCCGTCTTTTTGTTGTTTCCGGTCGCCGTTTTTTTACCGTTTCCATTTTCAAGGGTAATTTTTTGGGAAACGGTGAAAAAACGGCCCTGCCGTTTCCGGGGCCCACAAAGGGTCTGTGGAGGCTGATTACAGTCAGCGCGCATAGTCAGTAAGGACAAACGATTTTTTCAGGGGTGCCCTTGGGTCCTTGCCCGCCTCAGCCTCTGCGGCCCGTCCCCAGCAATTTTCGCAGGCCAGTTTCTCAGGTTCCCTGGGGGTTGTGGAGGTTGATTCGTGTCAAGTCGGGCCTGTCCCCCTATAGAAGGATTTTCGACGAAAAATACAAGATACCCCAACAAATCAAGAAAATTCTCCAAACATAATCAAACATTACTCCAAAAAGGATGGCGCCCCGCACGACGAGCAAGGCCTGGGGTTTGTGGAGGTTGATCAGTTCAGGCAGTGGCGAAGCGTCCTGGCTTGTCTATAGCCCTACCAAGCAATGTTCCAAGAACCTGTTGCGGTTTCCGGGAAATGTTCTCAGAACAGTTCTGGCTGGGACTGTCTTGTTGTAACACATCGGGAATTTGTTCTGAGAGCATTGTTTTTGTTCTTAGAACTAAGAACATTTCGTGGTAGTACTATAGGAATGCCAGGACGGTCGGCCCCAGCTGAAGGAGCAGTTCCGACAAGGGGGGCAGGATGGCGCCCCGCACGACGAGCAAGGCGTGGGGTCTGTGGAGGTTGATTAGTGTCGGGTGTATCAGCCACGCGCAGAGGGGGGTGGGGGGAGGGGGGAGACCTGCTTAGAAGCACCCCCGCTTCTTAAAAGGCGCGGGCCTTATCTATAGATGTAAGGCCAGCGCCTTCTAAGAAGCAGCCTCCTTCTAAGAAGCCCTCTCCCCTCCCTCCACCCCCTTTTGCGCGCCGACAAGTATATCTAGGACCCCAGGTGAGGGGACCCGGTTGGTAGTGGTGCCCCAGAGCCCCGCAGGACGAGCAAGGCGGGGGCTGTGGAGGCTGATTAGTGTCGGCCAGGACCCCAGGTGAGGGGACCCGGTTGCTAGCAGGGCCCCAGAGCCCCGCACGACGAGCATGGAGGGGGTTTGTGGAAATTGATTGGTGTCGGGTGTAGCCAGGACCCCAGGTGAGGGGACCCGCTTGGTAGTAGGGCCCCAGAGCCCCGCACGACGAGCATGGCGGGGATTTGTGGAAATTGATTGGTGTCGGGTGTAGCCAGGACCCCAGGTGAGGGGACCCGCTTGCTAGTAGGTCCCCAGAGCCTCGCACGACGAGCAAGGCGGGGGTTGTGGAGGTTGGCTCATGGAGAGGAAGCGTGCTGCCGAATAATTTCTCGGGGGTTGGTAGACCTCCTACCCTGAAAACGTCGATGAGTGAACTGGCCGTTTGCACTAAAGGGAGGTTTACTAAAGCGAGGCTTGTCCACCGCCGAATTCCCAGATGTCTACAAGATGTTTCAAGTAGATTTCAATTGTTTTGCACACTTTAACACCGTTTGAGCACATGCTTAGAGCATGTTTCCCACAGCTCAAACATATCTTTAATTCGATGATGGGATTGTTGGAGTGTCCATTGTCATGGCATCCGCCAGGCTGGGGCCTGAGCGCGCCGTGGGTTCCGTTGCCAGTGTACACATCGGTGTTTTTTGTTTGATGTCTGTGTGTGTCTCCCCTCTCTTTCGTGTGTTGCTAGAAGTGCCCCTGTGCCAAGGTGCCCCCAGGATTCTCGGGGTAGCCCAAACTGCGGCCCAGATGGCCCCAGGGGCTCCAAGATGGAGCGAACAGCTGGGGGCACCTTGGGCCAAAGGTACTTCTGGCGATACCTGACTCTTGCAGCCGAACGGTTCGCGCGTGCCCCAACCCGGCCCACCAAATCGCGCGTGCGGATCGTCTCTGCCGCGCTGCGGCGGAAACAAAAAGTGTTGTGTGTGTGTGTGTGTGTGTTCTCTCTCCCGCGCCTCGACCTGGGAACCCATTGCTTTTCCAGCAGGCGTGAGCGAAGGTGCAACACGCGATGTCGTTCAATCCGCGTCGTTGTCGGAGAAGAGCGTGTGTGTGTGTGAGCATGTGAGAGTGAGTCATCGTCTTTGCAATCCTCCATCGTGTCTCCTTGCCTCGTTGTTAGTTTGCTGCTGATTTATCATCGCTGCTGCGTCCTTGCTCCGTGGCCTCCTGCTATCGTTGCAGCTCTCCGTGCTTCCAACTATGCGGTCGACCCCAGTCTTGGATTTCGGCTTGAGCATGGCTTCTGCCTCTGGGCACCGTGTAGACATCTCCTCCCTCTGTTGGAGACCCGCTCCAAGCTGTTGCGCACAGGAGGGCGATCCGTCTCGCCCTTTGAGGCACATCTGATGGGCCTGTTGTCCACCTCCACCACCATAAGTTCGAGGGGGAGGGAGTCCTCCTCCTCCTCTTCCTCCTCCTCCTCTTCCTCCTCCTCCTCCTTGTCCTCCTCCTCCTCCCTCTCGTCCTTCACCTCCTCCCCCCCCTCCAACTTCTGGTGGTGGTGGTGGTGGAAAACGGGCCCATCGACATCGTTTGGTGGTGACGTCGGCGCGCCCCCCCTCTCGATCTCGCCCCGTCGACCGCGGGTGGCTGGGAGGTTGCAGTGGGGATCAATGGCGCCCTCGAGGGCGCGAAGGTATTCGCGCTCCGCGGTTCGGCTCGGATTCCTCTCTCGTCCTCCTCTTCTCTCCTGGGAGGCGGCGCGAGGGCGCGAAGTTCGTCGTACTTCGCGCCTCGCGCAGCGCGAGAGCGCGACGTTGGGAGCCCTCGAGGAGATTCGCGCCAGCGCACGCTTGCCCGCGCGCGGGCAGGCGATTCTTTTCTCTCGGATCTTCGGAGGTGGACCGAGCCCCCACCCCGACACGCCAATTACAGTCGGCCCCGATTAGTAGGTCGAGCCTGCCAACTCAAGGGTACCCTTGTGTCCTGTGTCTCGCGACCAAAGCCTCCCACATTTCTATGGCAGTGTGGCCCTCGGAGGGGCCTTGCGTCCTCTCGCGTGCCCTGTCCAATCCGGTCCGACTGGGGTGGCTTGTCCACTGTCGGTCCTCGAGAGGGCGCCGCGGCCGTCACTTTCCGGGCCCGCGCCCGCCAGGTTTGGGCCCGAGGCCGCTCTGCCCTTTGTGGGCCCGGGAAACGGCAGGGCCGTTTTTTCACCGTTTCCCAAAAAATGTCCTTTGAGAATGGAAACGGCAAAACAACGGCGACCGGAAACGGCGCAAAAACGGCTCCAGGATTGGAGCCGGAGCCGGTCCAAAAACGGCGACGGAAGCGGTAAAAAAACGGCGTCGGAACCGGCAAAAAGACGGCAAAACGGAACCGGGGAAAAAAAACGGCCCTGTCGTTTCAAGGGCTCCCATGAGGGCGCGAAGTTATTCGCGCTTCGCGCTTCGCGGTCCTCGTTCCTTCTCCCCCTCCTCCTCGTCCTCCTTTTCTCCCTTTGGGGGGGCGGCGCGAGGGCGCGAAGTTATTCGCGCTTCGCGCTTCGCGGAGCGCGAAGCGCGAAGTTGGGAGCCCTAGACTAAGGCTCTGCCCACCCCCGAGCTCTGCGCTCTTCTCCTGGGGGGCCAGCGCGGCAGACCCCGCGCGCCTCGCCGCGCCCGCGCGCCTGGCGCAGCTCCCGACGGCCTGGGCCGACCGCGGGCTTTGCCAGGCGCCCGCGGCGGCGCGCGGCGAGGGTCCCTGCTCTCGGAGGCATGGAGCTCTGTGGGCCCTGGAAACGGCAGGGCCTTTTTTTCACCGTTTCCACAAAGATGTCCCTTGAAGTGAAACGGCAACAAAAACGGCGACCGGAAACGGCAAAGAAACGGCTCCGGGATTGGAGCCGGAGCCGGAACCGGTCAAAGAACGGCGACGGAACCGGTAAAAAAACGGCGTCGGAACCGGCAAAAAAACGGCAGAACGGAACCGGGGAACAAAAACGGCCCTGTCGTTTCCAGGGCCCACTTAAGGGTATGGAGTCTCAGACCTGCTCCGATGCCTGCGGCCTTCCTCGAGATCCCGCTGCTGCCTCCCCTCCCCGCGTGCCAGGGCGCCGGCGCCATCAACGCGCTCTACCTCCAGGGCGGGGGCGCCTACATGGTGCCCTCGTCGAACAGGCGCGACCCCCCCGCCATGCTACAGATTCCCCTTTTCGGCCCCCCCCCCCGCTTCGACTCGGTTCGGTCGATCCGATTCGATGTCGGCCTCGCTGAGCTCGGTCCTATTCGATGCCGATGTTCCAGCGATGCGACGAGGCCCCATGCCTGCAGGGCGCATTCGTGCACCTTGGCGCAGCTGGTCCGACTTGACTCCGAACTCGTGCTGATGCGGCCCGATCCGACGCAGGTTCTGATCCGGTCCGATTTCCCGATTCGGTGCTGGCTGGCTGATCCCCCCTCCCTACCATGCATCGTTCGAGGGAGGAGGAGGTGAGGAGGAGGAGAAGGAGGAGGGAGGGGAGGAGGAGGATGGCTGGACCTGGCAGTAGACACGCAAACACAGAACAACGTCGATCCAGCGTGAGTGGAGTTTGAGCGTTTTGGGTAGTCCTATAGAGTCAGGGCCTCGTCACCCTTGTATTCGGCATGGTTTTCCCAAGGTCCCCCATTTTGACTTTGGTTTTGTTTTATGATGTTCCAACCTACTTCAGCCTTGATCACCATAATGAATTTCGAGCGCCAAGACAACACCCCAAAAATCAACGGGGTTTCACGTGTCGGGCCCTAGGAGACACTCTTTCGACACTGTTTCGACACTCTTTCGAAACTCTTTCGACACTTTTCTGGGTGCTCGAAATTACTTCTGCGATGTGGTCTTGAAGTACGATGGGAGCAACATGCTCCGAACTTCTTCTTAATCAACCGGGGGGTGACAAGCGTGAAAGCGCGGCGCGGCCAACCCCCCCCGGGCACCACCCCCGCGCCCCAGCAGGAAGGGATCGAACCCCAGACCCCCCCTGGCACCCCGCGGACGCGCCGCGGCCAACCCCCCCGGGCACTCCGAGGGGGGGGGGGGCCGGGCGGAGGGGGAGGAGGCGAGAGATGCACTCCGAGGGGGGGGGGGGGCGGAGGAGGAGGAGGAGGAGGAGGAGGAGGAGGAGGAGGAGGAGGAGGAGGGGGCGATTATTCAGCGATCCAGAATAAGTGTTGTGCTTCTCTCCCTCCTCCCCGGTCCCTCGTCGGCCGCTCTCCCCCCCCTTTTCGCAGGCAGCTGGGCACGCGCACTCCTCGCTTCCGCCCGATGCCTCGCCCCCCCTCCTCAGGAGAGGAAAATTCACACAGACACAATTCATCGTCGACTCCCAGGAACATCTGGGAACATATGGGAAGCGTGGGGGAACGCAAAAACCCATAACATATGCGAAAAGATTGGGAATCCTGCTATTTGTGTATATTTTTGTTTTGTGTTCCAGGGCCCCTTCACTTCCACCGAGCAAGAGGGTGTTCAGTCGTGTTCGGGCCGGGCCATGATGAGGGCAAGTCCGTTCTGGAGCTCCTTGAACGCTCTCAGATCGTTCCAGAACGTTCCGAGGAGGCCGTGGTGCCCGATGCATCCTCTAGAGCCGCCGGATCTCTGATATTCTCGATGCATCCTCACCCGATTTTATCCTCACCTCGGTCAGGTCTTACGCATGCGGGGGGCTGGTCAGCTCGCGGCGCAGTGCAACGGTCCGTGGGCGTTTTTTCAAGCCACGCCGTGGGTTTGAGACCTATCGGATGTGTCGATGAAGGGCGAGCCTGGTTCGCTGCCTTGTTTGTGTTTCTCTCCTGTTACACGAGCCTGGTGTTTGCATTCCAGTCGGCATTGGGGCGAAGAGAAGGGATGTAGTGTCTAGTGTTTGAGCGCATCCTTGGATATGGAAGCGTTCGATTCTAAGAGGTATTGCGGGTAGGGTGAGTCCGAGAGGGAGAGGGCGAGGGAGAGCGCCAGAAATACTGAGAGCAAAGGAGGAAGTGAGGGAGCGACATCATGAGAGAGAGAGAGAGAGAGCGAGAAAGAGCGAGAAGATGATATACGCCTTATCTATGTACAGTGTAAATATACACATAGATATGTATACAGGTAAGCGGGGTTTCAGGTCCCGGGGGTGCCCGGCATCATTCTCCGCGGCGGGACTGGGGCTCCAGGACCCCCCGCTCCCAGTCCAAAGCGGCCTAGATGCCCTCCAAGACGGCCAAGATGGCTCGTGATGGCCTCAGATATTCCCCCAGTACCGCCAAGAAGCCCCCAATGACGCCACAAGAGGCCCCCGAGGGGCCTCCCAAGAGAGCCCCAAGAGGCAAACATGGCCCTTTCGGAAAACGTGCATTTTTACTAGATTCGCCCCTTTGGCTTTCGCAGCGTCCAAGACGACCCGAGAGGCCTCGACGATCTCCCCAAGACGGCCCAAGAGGCTCCCGAGAGGGCTCCCAGACGACTCAAGAGGGCCCCAGACGGCTGAAAAGGGCTCCAGGACGCCCCGAGAAGTGGCCCATAGGGGGCTCCCGAACGGACATTTGAAGATCTTCGCCCCTAGAGTCCTAGAGGTCCCCAGGAAGGCCTAAGAGGCCCCCAACATGCCCCCAGAGGTCCCCTAGAGACCCCACAAGGCCCTGAGAGGCACCCGAAAAAGCTCCCAAGAAGCCCCACAAGGCCCCCAAGAGCCCCCCCCCAGATGCCCAGAGGCATTCCTGACGATCCTCGACGCCGCCGCCAAGGCTTTCGGCGGGCGCCGCCGCGGCCGTCACGCTGGCGGGGCCCCCCGCAGCCTTGGCGGCGGTGAACTTGTCAAGGGCGGATGCGTTCTTGAACCTAAGCGCGCGAAGCGCGCGCGTGGTCCTAGTATGTTTATCTACACATACATGTCCCAAACAGTGCTTGCCCTGGCGTTTGTCTCCAATGACCTTCGGCCCATCCGGCCACCGTGCCCGGTTTGTGGGTCAGAGTTCTCAGGGATGATTCTTGGGGTCTCTTCGGAGCGCCTTCGGGGGCCTCTTGGGGGCAGTTTTGGGTCCTCGCCTCTTGGGGCCTCTTGGTGGCCTCTTGGGGCCTCCTGGGGGCCCCTCGGGACCGAGGGCTTGAAATGTCTGTTCGGGCTCCCCCACTGGGGCCCCTCTTGGAGCCGTCTTCGGGCGCTCTCGGGCCGTCTTGAGCGCTTCGGCCATTGTGGGCCGTCTTGGGGCCCTCTCGGGGGCCGCTTGGGCCGCCTGTGGGCGATCTCGGGGACCTCTTGAGCCGTCTTGGAGCGTCGGGGAGCCGAAACGGCGAGAAGGCAATCATCCTTCCACAGTATTCGTGCTCTTATTCCATGTTTTGCCAGTCGGCGCGGAGTCATCTTGGGCGTCTTGGGGCGATCGTTCGGCGACTCGTGGCCCTCTTGGACCGTCTTGGGCGCCTCCTCGAGCTCTCTTGGACGTTCGTGGGGCCCTGCTGGCTCCGAAATAGTCCAGCGGGGAGCGGCGCCAAGCCCCGAGGGGTTTGAGAATCTGGAGTCCCGGGCTTTGGAAGACTCTTCAGGATTGAGGGTCGAGGCTTCGGGACCCAGGGAAAGGACTTGAGGACACGCCCACTGCAAGGGCTCCCTCGAGGGCGCGAAGTTATTCGCGCTTCGCGCTTCGCGGTCCTCGTTCCTTCTCCCCCTCCTCCTCGTCCTCCTATTCTCCCTTTGGGAGGGCGGCGCGAGAGCGCGAAGTTATTCGCGCTTCGCGCTTCGCGGAGCGCGAAGCGCGAAGTTGGGAGCCCTAGCCACTGCGTGCCCAGAGGCATGGTGGCGGATTTCTGTTTTGAGGAACTGGGCCCGAGTGGCGGTCTCGCGGCTATGTTGCCGCCGTCGCCGCCCCGTCGCCGCCTCGTCGCCGTCCGTCGTTTGGGCCTTGGTGGCGGTCTCGCGGCACGTTGCCGCCGTCGCCGCCTGGTCTCTACCTGTCGTCTGGGCCTGGATGGCTGTCTGGCAGCATATAATGCACCACATAGATTGCACAACATTGGTTGACCACCTAGATTGCACAACACAGATTCTCCTGAAGAAGTGCACACGCGCGCGCCGTCGCGCGAGCGCATGCCGACTTCCTTCCAACACCTTAGGTTTTGTACGGATTTCAACATCGAGTGCCACGAACCTTCTAAAAGCACATGGCTTCGCAACAATCAGTTTCAAAACAGCCTGCGCGCGAACTCTTGCAGATTCTACATAATACCATAGGTTCTCGAACCTTGTCATGACATGCCAACAAACGTGCCTCTCGCGCGCGCATGTCGAAATCGCTCTAACGCTCTTGCGCGCGTGCTGTCGCAAGAATCCTTACCAAGAAATGAGACGATGTGCGCACGCGCGCGTTGTTGTGCGCGTCTGCGGGGATCCCTAAACCAAACCTGCGGATTCTTAGGGATTTCAAAACCGAGCGCCCCGAATCATACAGAACTCGCACGGTTTTGCAACACCAGTTTTCAAACATGCCTGCGCTCGTGCTCCTGCGAATGTTTGTAGTTGTAGGTTTTCTTCGTTGCTTTCAGTCAGTTCGGCCAATCGAGCCTCCCGCGCCGCATGTCGAAGCCTGTCGAACCCCCTTGCGCAGATGCTGGGGGGGGGGACGATTCGTGTCAAATCGTACCATTCGGGCCACTCGCGCGTCGTCCGCGCGCGCATGCCGAACCCATTCCAAAACCTTCAACACCGACGCGAGGACGCCGTCATCGTCGTCGGCTTGATCAGCATCGGGGCCGTCACTGGCCGTGCCGTCGTCGTTGTCATCATCGTCACCAGCATTGCTACTACCATCACCGTGTCTACTGCTGTCGACGTTGCCATGATACCGCTCTGGGCCACATCGCCGGCTCGCAGTGAAGCGTCCGCGGGGAAGCGCCCAGCGGTCAGCGCCGAGGCGGCCGTGTCGGTCGCGCCAAATTTGTTGGCCGTTTTGCGTACAAGCATGGGCGCTAGCGCGGTCTCGGCGATGGGCCAGCAAGCACCGAGCAGTCACCACGATCGCCGCCGCATGGGTTTTGCAGACCAAATTGCGGGTGGGCGGGTGGGACGGGTGCGCGAGAACTTGAGTTGACAATTTCAGTTTCGGCAGAGTGAATTGCACCACGTAAATAGACCCACCCACATATATTGCACCACATATCATGTTCCACGTTGGTTGAGCAATCTATATTGCACCACCGAGTTTTCACATCATACGTTGTACAATTGTTATTGCACAACCTAGATTGCACGTCGGCTGCTACACAGTATATATTGCAACGCAACGGTTGCACCACACATGTTGCACAACATAGTCTGCACAAGGTGGATCGCAACACATATTTTGCATCATATATGTTGCTCAACACGTTTTGTACATCACATATTGTATCACATAATTGTTCCACATACATTGCGCACTGGGGACTGCACCATAGCGATGGCTCCGCGTACAATGCAGAGCCTGCATTGCTAGAGACGCACGGTGGTGGGCCAGTGCTGGCTAATACATATACATATACACGCACACAGGCATACATACATACCTTTGTAGCTGTTCGTGCATATGTATATGTATGTGTGTCTGTAGCTGTATGTGTATATGTATATGTACATGGATCTGTAAACGTACACGTATTAGCATATGTAACTGTAGTGGTAAACGTATGTGCAGCTGTAAACATACCTATACTGTATACGCGTATGCAAATTTATATGCACATGCGTGTGCATACACACATATATATACATATATATATATATGTTTGCCTGCATGTTTGCATGCATGTATGTATCTATGTTTGCCTGTCTGTATGAATACCTCCACTACATGCGTTACATCTAGCAAGGACAAATACACACATTCATACACATAATCGTATATCGAACTGCCTTCGGCCCAACCTGCCAACGTACTTGGGTTTTGGGGCAGACTCCTCTGGGATGACTCTTGGGGTCTCTTGGGGCGTCCTTCGAAGGCCTCTAGCAGGCAGTTCCGAAGCGGCAGTTTGGGGACATCTTGGGGCCTCTTTGGGGCTTCTTCGGGGCTTGGGGGTGGGGGCTCTAGAGCGTCTGCTGGTAGTCTCGGTGGTCTTCTTGCGGCGGCAGGCTCGAAATGGCAGGTCGTGCTCCCTTTTTCGGGCCCCTCTTGGGGCGTTTCCGAGTCCCTCTTGGGCCGTCTTGGAGGCCTCTTGGGCCGTGTAGGGAACCTCCTCGGCTGTGTTGGAGTCTTCTCGGGGACCTCATGGACCGTGTTGTGGCCATCTTTAGGGCCACCTGGACCGTCTTGGAGCGTCGGAAGGCCGAAAAGGCGAGAGCTATAACAGTTTGCACTCGCACAGAGAACATGTGACGCAAGCGAGAGATGCGATGCAACCTGTGCGGTGCAGCCTACGTGATGCAGTCGATGTGTAGCAAGCCTTGCGGGCGCTCGCAGGACGAACACGGGCGGAGGCGGCGCGGTGCCCACGACGCGGTGCCCACGAAGCGTAGGACGAACGCGGGCGTAGGCGCACAGGGCGCTCAGGACGCGCTCACGGGCGGCAGCCGGCCGTGGCTTGAGCACAGCCCAGCCACATCCAACGGCTTGGGGATGCAAGGGAGGACCCCAAAGGTGCAAGCACGACATTGGGGAACATATACTCATATGCAGCTTGTGTGGCGAAGTGAGGCAGTTCCATTGTTTGCAAGATGCCAGGTGGGGTGAGCGGTGATGTGATGGAGGATGCAGCAATGGGGCGTGGTCCGATATTAAGCATGTAATGAATTATTTGCGACCTTTCCAGGCGCAACAGTACCAGCCGGGCAAGAGTCAGCATTGACCCCAAGGCTTGGATAGACAAATTGCTGTCTCTGTCATGGTTTCCGCGTTTCATTGTTCTTGCTACCCTTGCTGTCTTTGTAACCACATGTGTTGCTTGTGCCCTCCTCTTCCCGTCCAGACTGCCGTTGGCCGCGCCTTTGCTACTCGTCGAAGCTTCTGCTGCAAGTCGAGAGCCTTCTGAGAACACCGCCGCGTGCTGGCCTGCCAGAGAGCCCTCAGACGTCCGACAACGTTGCATCCCCGATCGACGACGACGGCGACTCACGTGCTCCCTCCACAGCCCGTTCTGGAGCTGGTGGGCGATCCAGCGGCATACGCTCCTGGCATCCGCCCCGAGTCAGGCGACCGCGGCCGCGGGAGATGGGCCGTGGCGAGGCCGAGCTCACCGAGCGCGCTCCACTCCTCGCAGGAGTGCCTGCTCGCAAAAGCGTCCACAGGAGCCCGCCTGCCTCGGTGCCATGGAGCTCGTCGGGCCATCGATGCAGCGCATCCCGGCCACTTGCGAGGAGCTACCTGCGAGTCGTGGAGAGCGCGCCTGTCTGCGAACACGCCCGGGAGAACCCCCTGGCCCCGGCAGCGGCCCGGGGCGAGCGCGGAGCCCTGCGAAAGGGCCAGCGTCGCCCGCAGGCTTGGCATCGCTCGGACGTGTGCATTTTTCCTTCGGCGAGGACCATCGAGGAGCATCCTCGATCATTTGGCAAACAAAACACGCACGAAACCGACAACAACACAGGGGATGGACGTCCGAGCGATGGCGAGCAGGTGCCGCGCAGAGCCTCGCGCCGCTCCACGCCCCGCGGGCCGGGCCGGAGGGGCTGCCTCTCCTGCAGAGGGACGGCGCCGACGCTCAAGCAGTGGCGAAGCGTCCTGGCTCGCCAAACAGTGTTCTAAGAACCTTTTGTGGTCTCCACGAGATGTTCTTAGATCGGGGGTGGACAGTCCTCCTACCCTGACACGTCGATTAAGGAATTGGCCGTTTTCGGTTCGCGAGAGGGCGTCGCGGCCGTTATTTTTTCGGGTCCAGGTCCGTCGGTTTCGGTCCCAGGCCGTTTTCACTAAGGGGAGGTCTACTAAAGGGAGGTTTGTCCACAACCGAGGACGGCGCCGACGCTCAAGCAGTGGCGAAGCGTCCTAGCTCGCCTATGGCCCTACCAAATAGTGTTCTGAGAACCTTTTTGTGGTTTCCACGAGATGTTCTTAGAACATTTCTGGTTGAGATGGTCTTGCTTCACGCGTCGGGTTCATGTTCCAAGGAAGTTGATGTTGTTCTTCGAACATGCTTGGGTTCTGAGAACAGTTCGTGGTAGGACCATGGGAATGCCGGGACGGTCGGTCCTGGCTCAGGACGCATCGAGAGGCACGTGCCCCGCGGGGCGCAGCGAGCGAAGGTGGGCTCGGCGGGAGGAGGAGCGACGTCAACACCACCAAGGGGGCCCCCCACCTCCATCGGGGAGGTCCGCGAGGCCTTCCCGAGCCGGAGGCTGGGGAGGTCTCGAGCGAGAGGGGGGGGTGGACCACACCACCGGGGAGATCCTCCTCCTCCTCCTCCTCCTCCTCCTCCTCCTCCTCCTCCTCCTCCTCCTCCTCCTCCTCCCCCTCCCCTCCCTCCCCCTCCCCTCCCCCTCCCCCTCCCCCTCCCCCTCCTCCTCGCATCTCCTCGCCCCTGGTGGTGTGGGTCTCCCCCTTTTCCGTTCTCCTATAGTGGGCGGCTTGGGCCCGTCCTGTGCGGCCTCCTTGCGCTCCTGCTGCCGGGGCCAGCGCGCTGGTCGGCTGCGCTCAGGAGTGACCCTTCGCGATGGATTGGCCTCTGAAGCGGGCGCACAGGGGGTCCCCCCACCGCTGGCCTGCGCGCGTGGCTTTGGCCTCCTCGCGGCGCCCTAAGTCGCCCAGCGCGCTCCTTTCCTCGCAGACTGCCAAATTGCTCGCAAACGTCCGACATGTACGGGTCTTTCTCAATGTGATCTATCGTAGGTCCCCAGCGGCGGATCCAGGCAATTCGCGGGCAGTTGATCTGCGACTAGTGGAATTCACCACCCACCAAACCACCCCAACCCGAAGGCCCCGATTTGCCCTCCATTTCCAGTGGGGGGGGGGTCGGGGGACATCGACAAAAACACGCATGAGGCCCGTACCCTCCCAACCCGAAATTCGGGTCTTCGGGTTGGGTTGGGGTGGTCTGGTAGGTAGTCAGGAACGCGCCTGCCCACGAAAGCCGCACACGACAGGTCACTCTTGCCCAGGGTCGCTCTCTGCGTGCCGCCGAACCGGAGGCCCGCACCCGCTCGGCCCCTTCCTCCGAGGGAGTCCTCCCGGCGTCGGGCGTGCTGCAGAACGTCCAGGGGCTGCTAGGGTTGCTCCTCTCCCAGGGCGCCCCCTCCTCCTCCTCCTCCTCCTCCTCCTCCTCCTCCCAGCTTTTCGTTCCTTCCTGGAGCACCCTGGGCCCTCTGGACCTCGTGATGGGGTGCTCTGGAGGCCGTCGAAGCCTCCCTGGAGTTCCGGGGGGCACCTTGGGCCAGGGGCACTTCTGGCAACACCCGGACCCCTCGATTGCGGACCCCGATCTTCTGCATCTTGGCGCCTCTCGGCCTCCCTCCGTACAGGAGCGACAGGAGGGCCTACAGGTACAGGAGGCCACGTTGGTTTCGGTTAACCTTCCCAAGGTTACCCGAAACCAACGTGGCCAGCAGCAGTATAGAACAAGTAACGTAAAGTGGCCCGGGACATGTTTTGTTTTATAAGTGGCCGGGGCCGAACAACAAAATACAAACAGAGGTTGCGTTGCGTGCCCCGGCCCCCCGCTTTTCGAAACACTTGCTTATTTGGTATACATTTCGCTCTGCCCAAAGTGTGCGATTACCCCGCCGATGGAACAGAGCCCGCGTTAGCCCTCATCGATGACGCCGCCTTCGCTTCGGAGGGCTTCGTCTGACAAAACACGTTGGCGCCACCCAAATTGGCGACCTGGAAGCGGGCACCAACACTAAGCCTCGGGCATGCCTCGAATGGGGTAAGATGATCCTGGAATTCGGGCTTGGTTGTGATGCTTCGGCCAGCCAGGACGACAAGATAGGACCTGCATCGCCGAGATCGGGAGCACCCTCCCTCGGTGGCGGCACACCGCCGATACTGGTGTTGGTGTCAACCTCCAGGCCTCCCACAACACGCGTCTCGAGGATCACCGAAGGGCGCGCGGTGCCGAGAGGGTCCCCCCCCCGACAGCGGCCGCCGGGGGCCTCGTCCCTTTCGGCGCCTCGGCGGTCCGCCGGCGGTCTCGGCAGGCGATCCGGAACCTGGAGATCTACGGGAGGCAGGCGCGGATCCGGCAGGTCGGGGGTGGGGGAAGCGGGTGGCAGGTGCCTCCAGCTGGAGGAGGAGGAGGAGGAGCAGGAGCAGGAGGAGGAGGAGGAGGAGGAGGGGGAGTGGGGGGAGAAGCACCGAGGAGGAGGAGGAGGAGGAGGAGGAGGAGGAGGAGGAGGAGGAGGAGGAGGACAAGGGGGGCGAAGAGGAGGAGGAGGAGGATGAGGATGAGGTGGAGGAGGACCAGTGGAAGTCCAGGACTCATTAACGACTTTGCAATGAACCCTGCCCTCACGTTCCCTCTTCGCAGGGCCCTGCTGGATTCATGTTCACTGAGGAATGCCCCGTTGAGATCTGTGCCAGAACACCATTCCTGGCACTCCAACGCGGCGAATCATCTCTCTTGTTGTGTCTTGAGGATCCTGAATTGTGCCAGAACACCATTATTAGGGCTTCTCTGCCGCGAATCACCGTTACCATTGCGCCGTGACGTTCCGACATCATGCAAACACGCCATGTCTGGTTCGTCAACAATTGGAGTCTTTGACATTTTTTTGAACTCTTAGAACGAGTGCGCGCGGCGCTGAGGCGAGAGACATCCTGACGATGACCCGATCCGTGAATCTCTTACCAACTAGAGAGGAACATGTTCGCGGGACTCAGGCGAGAGCCACATTTTGAAAGCGACCCACCCTCCATCCGGGAAGCTATTACGAATTCTGTAGTTTAAGACGATCAACGCCTGGCCCGCCCTTCCGACTGGCTTCAGGGTGCGACAGTGACAGAAAGGAGTCACTTGTCGGAACTAGAGGAGGAGCACGAGGAGGGCGAGGACAAGGAGGAGGAGGAGGAGGAGGAGGAGCAGGAGCAGGAGCAGGAACAGGGGCAGGATGAGGAGGAGAGGTTTCAGGAGGAGGAGCAGGTGGAGGAGGAGGAGGAGGAGGAGGAGCAGGAGGAGAAGGCTGACGAGCAGGAGGAGCATGATGGGGAGGAGGAGGATGGGTGGGTGGGCGGCGGGGCAGGGAGGAGCAGGAGGACGAGGACGCGAGGCGTGCAAGGACGGGGGGGGCGTCGGCACCCGACAGGTCGAGAAGTTCACGCCCGAGATGGTGGAGGAGGTGAAGGACCTGTTCTCGAGGCCGCCCCCCGCCCTCGCCCTGCGCGTCGGGCGCGCTCCCGCGTCCCCCATATGGTTCTCTCCCCTCCTTCGCCTTGGCATCGCTCGGACGTGTGCGTTTTTTCCTCGGCGAGGATCATCGAGGAGAATCCCTGATCATTTGGCGAAGAAACCATTCACGAAACCAAAGAAAACACACAGGACATGGACGTCCAAGCGATGGCCAGCTCTGCCTTCCCCGTCTTCCGCCCTCCTTTCTCTGCCCAGCCTGCTACCCTTCTGTCGGGCCTGTCCCCCCACAGGGGGATGTTCGACGACAAATGGAACATGCCCCAAAAATAAAAAAGAAGTCAACACATACCACAAAACATGTTTGGATTTTTGTTGGACTATTTTGGGGGTATGTTTTATTTTTCGTCGAAAATCCCCCTGTAGGGGGACAGGCCCGACTGAATGCTACCCGCTTCCCTCGTCATGCTCCTCCTCTCTCTCTCCGCCTTCCCCCTATCAGCTGCCCCCCCCCGGCGGGCGCGGGAGTTGCCAACAAGGGCCCAGCGGGTGAGGTCGCCGCCCCTGCGCGGTCCAGTCCGCCCGCAGGCGGCGCCTGTGGAGCGCCCATGTCGATCTGCGCCGAGGGCATGCAGCTTTGTGCACGCCGTGCTGATTTCATCTAGGCCTCCTAGATGGGGTCCGAGTAGATGGGGTCGAAGGATCGCGCCGCATCGCCGATGCATCGGCGATGCGGCTCGATGTGGAGCCCGTGTTTCCCCGCACCGACGTCGCCGATGCATCGCTGACGTCGTCGATGCATCGCCGGCGCATCGCCGATGCATCGCCGATGTATCGCCGATGTATCGGCGATGCAGCGCGATCCTCCGACCACATCTACTCCGACCCCATCTAGGAGGCCTTTATTTCAAGTGTCAAATCCTCCGCCGCCTTCCAGTTCCCGTCTGCACTCGCCTGCTGTGCTCCGAGGGGGTGCCCCCCCCCTCCCACACAGCACGTGCGTAGAGGACTGCGCCACGCCGCACGACGCCAGCAGAGATGGCCCAATTCGCATGTGTTGTTTGCCGCTTCCCGTCGTTCTGCTTGCTTGTAGTTGTGTCGGGTCCTCTTCTTTCGCTTCTGTTTCGGGCCTCCGTGTGATGGCCTCTTCGAGGCCTCCCCGGCGGTCTCTTGTAAGCTTGCCTTGGGCTCTCGGGGGCCATGATGGGTCATCCATGTGGGGTCCTTTGGTGGGTCTTTTTTGGACATTTCGGGGATGATGTGGACCATCTTGTTCGGAAACTGTAGCATATACATTACCAGTGGCGGGCTGTTTGTCAATCCCAGGACTTTTTGAGGGTCGGGGGCGACGTCGGGGTGGTGTGGTGTGTATTGTTGTTTCCTTATTTTCCCGGGGAAGCAGCGGACAAAACGTATGCACCAGGATCCCGTATACAGCAGGATCCGCTTTCCTGGGCGATTTTCAGTGCATGGCAGGAAAACGCGGCGGTGTCTAGAGCCGGGAGCTCACGCTCTTGGGCCTCTCCCGGAGCCCTCGGAGCCCTCTTTGAGTGTCTGATGGGCTGTCTTTTTAAGGGGCCTGGCCTCTTCGGCCGTCTCCGGGCCCTCCTGGACGCCTCCTGGGCTGGTCTGAGGGCACCGCAGATCCCAGCAGAGGCGATAACGCTGAGCATGTCCGGAAGCTGGAACATATACATTACCGGTGGCGGGCTGCTTTTCCATCTGTTTCCCGAGGAGGCAGGGGCAAATGTATACACCAGGATCCCGTATACACCAGGACCCGTTTTCCATGGCAAATTTCATTGCAGGACTGGAAGAAGCGTCGGTGTATAGAGTTCGATTCCTTACATGTCCAACACACTCTTTGGGGGGAATGTTTTAGTGTTGGCCTCTTGACGCCCTGGGGGGTCCCTTCTGCGGCCCTCTTGTGGGGCGTCCTGTGGCACCTTCGGCAGTCTTGGGGTGCCCTCCTGGATGCCTCCTTGGATTGAGTTGGGCCTGCCTGGGTGGCTCCAGCTAGTGAAACAGTTGACAACGCGACACGTGTTCAACAACTTGGAACATCATTGGTTATCCCCCTCTTCTTGCTCCTCCTCCTCCTCCTCCTCCTCCTCCTCCTCATCCCCTCTTGGGGCCCTCGGGGTACTCTTTGGCGCGCCCTTCGGGCGTCGTGGGGGTGCCGTCTTGGAAGCCATTCGTTGTGTTCTTGCGGCCTCTCTGGTGTGTTCGAACCCTTCTCGAGCCATCTCAATGGAAGGCAACTTGGGCAGCCTGGAGGCCACGGGAGGTGATTTTGGAGGCCCCGATGGCCCCAGAGGTGTGTCGATGAGGCCCCCTCCCCCGCCTCTCACAGAGTCTCGGCATCGCTCGGACGTGTGCATTTTTCCTTCGGCGAGGACCATCGAGGAGCATCGTTGACATTTTGGCGAAAAGCCACGCACGAAACAGAAAAAACACAGGGAATGGACGTCCGAGCGATGGCCAGGAGTCGTGGCCCCACGGGAGGAACCAGGGGTAGGGGGACAGCCAGACAGTTCCCACGCCTCCTCGCCCGCAGCAGGCGTGGGTCGGCGGATGCCCACGTCCAGGAGTGCATGTGTTGGTGCCATGCTCCTCCTCCTCCTTCTGGGGGATGGCGAGACCAGGCCTCTGCCCTGAGCGCCCGCTCAGTTCAATCGGACCTTTCAAACTTGTGCTCCCGCTGCAGCGTTGGCCGCGTCTCGGGATCCCCGCGTTGCTCCCGGCGTTCAGGTTTGCGCTCTCGCCCCATGCGCAGGCAACCACTCTGGGTCCAGGTCATTCCACGTCGTTGCCGCCCCCTGTTGCGAAGGCATCACGGCTGGTGCTGTGGGTCTTGGGGCCTTCTGGGAACTTCTTGGGGCATCCTGGGAGCCTCCCGGGGCCGAAGGCTCGAACTGCCCGTCCGGGTCCCTCGTCTGGGCACGCTCTTGGAGCCGTCTTGGGGACCACTTTTGCCGTCTTGGAGGCGTTCTGCGCTCTCTTGGGGTCCTCTCGGGCCATTTCGGGTTCCTCTTGGAGGCCTCTTGAGCAGTCTCTGGGCGATCTTGTGGCTCCTTGCGCCGTCTTGGAGCGGCGG